AACCGGGTCCAGCGTCCCATATCCGAACTCGACCCAGATCTAGCCTTTACCTGCAGCACCATCGGGGGATTGGGGGGAGGCCCACCGGGGGGCACTGGTGGAATCTCCCTCCCTCCCCTAACGCCTGCCGCCCTCCTACTATCCTCATGGCGCCCATACAACAATGTTTCAGAGAAAAGCATGTCGAAGCTAGGGTGTCCAACTAACAGTGAMACTTGTGGAATCAATCATGCAACAAARGCTCAGAGAAAACAGTCTGACACCATAGTGCTGAGAACCGAGTCAGCAATTTTTCCAATGGGTCAATGTCCACACAAGAAAGTGAGCCACCCGGCCACTGCAGTGCTGACTTTAAGTCCCCAGATATTCCTCCAGGGCCAGCGGGTGGGGGGGGAAGGGATCACCAAAATCCTGTGCGGGTCTCAGCTGTTTGCCGGGATCCACCTTGGTCCAGTCCTTGAAGTGAAGGTGGTAGTCTCGTTTCTCTCGTTCCTCTCCTTGTTCTTCGTTCTGCTGGCCCAACTTGTCACCCTCCCAGCTCACCTTCGCAACCCAGCCCTCCCTCTCCCCTCCCAACCAATTCTCACAGAATCGGGAGATATTATTCTTAATGTCCCTTCTGGTGTGCAGCTGATCCAGATTCTCTTAACTGTCTGCCATTGCGCCACTATCTCATGCTGGAAGAGCAGTCTTCTGTGACTTCCCCCTCCTCCACCCTTGCCCCTTCCAGTTCCAAGATGCATCGTCGCCACCATATGGTCCATAGGATGGTGCGCCTACCAAGAGAGAACATGTTGGCTACAAAGATGTTGTCGCGAGTAGGGGGGTAATGCCCTAACAAGAGCGCTCTCCAGTCCCATGGCCATACGAAGCCTGGGACGATGTGCTGCCAGATCCTATCCCACCACCTCCATAACAGGACTGCTCCAGGGCACTACAGGAAGATGTGCTCGATCGTCTCGGAGCGCCTGTGTCCGGGGAAATTCTGTCGGCAACCGCGGCACTAGGGAAGCGCCCTTCCTTGCTGTTCAAGCTGTGTATGATCGATCAGCCAGTCATTGGTCGGCAGGCAGCGATGGGTGATTTGCCACTGGAGGGCAGAAATTTTTGCTGGCCTTTGCTGGTACCCGTTGAACCATCGGATGGATTGAAGTGCGCTTCGGTCTACATTGAGATGGCGCTGTCATCTGTCTGCCACCACCTCGTTTAGTCTACGCCTGGGCCTGAGCATTCGGTAGACAGTCTTTGTTTTGAGGGTGGCCAGATGGACTGTTTGTTTCCTGGCCAGTCTGCCATTCCACGACCATCGCCATTCTTGGGGATCAAAGGGGAGATTCCCGATCGGGCTCTGAGGTCGGTACGCTTTCCACTCTTTCCCTTCTTCAATTACCCGAATGCGATAGACTTCTGATTTTTCTTTCCAGAAGAAGGGTTGTCTACTTCCTTGCAGCCGCCTGGGTGCTGTGATGGTGTAGCCTTCGATTAGGACTTGTGTTTGCTCTACTGTGTGGACCTGGCCTACTTGTGTAGTGTGGCCAGGTAGCCCCACCCAATCGCCTGCTTCGAGCGTAGGGCCTTTCTTAAGTGTGGCATTCCATTGGATGGGGAAGCTTTCGATGAGTTCTTCCATTGTGGACTCGAGTGAGTGACAGTAGCGCAGGCAGCTTCTCATTCTTGCTGCACTCTTCCATTCTCCCCTTTCGTCATCCCACACATCCCCTACCCTGAGAACCCCATGTTTCACCCAAATTTTCCATGGAGTGTCCGAGTTGTTCCTAACCTGGTCGAGGGGGTCTGTGATGAGTCGATTACCGAACAGTGTTGTCTGATTATTTCGTCCCATTTGTCCGGGGGGGGGCGGTCGGGGAGTGGGAGCTTCCTCCACGTGCGCAGGAGACGTATCCAGTGTTCCTCTACCGTGTCCCCATTTGGATATTTCCTGGGGAGTCTCCAGTATCTGTCCTCGAGCCAGATCAGAGGATCGATTTCCGGTGGGGCCGCCGGAGCCAAGGCCGCAATTTGCGCCAGTGCCAAAGGGACCCAATGGGAAGAGGGGTCGAAAATAACCTGTTGTATCCAATGGATGCTTAAGGCCTGAAATTGTGTGGGCGGGTCCATTATTCCAAGTCCCCCACCGGCCTTGGGCTGGATAACAGAGTCTCATGCCACTCGGCTGATGGCATGGGTGTTACTGCTATCCCCTCTCCAGAGGAAGGCCGCCAACTGTTGCTTGAGCGTCTTAAGCCCCCCTTTGCTCAGGGGCCATAAGACGACTCTATACCAAAGGGTGGCCAGCACGACGTTGTTGATAACAAGAGCCCGCCCAAAGATTGATGTGTGTTTGTGGTTCCATCCTAGGAGTTTGGTCTGTGCTGGCCTGAGCAGCCATTCATCACTTGTGACGGGTTTCCCTTTGGCTGTGAGTGATGCTCCTAGAACTCTAAGGGGGTCACCAAGAGGAAGCCAGGTAATACGCGGGGTTTCTGGTGGTCTGCCCCCCTGGTGGTGCAGCCACCAGCCTACCGTTTTCTGCCCCCAGTTGACGGTCATGTCTGAGACATTAGCAAAACGGCCCATGCGGGCCTGGATTTCTTCCATATTTTGTGAGGTCGCCTCAACCATGATCGTGAGGTCATCTGCAAACAAGGAGCATATAGGTGCCGCTTCTTCCGGGATATTGGTAATCTGGATTCGGGTCAAGTCTTTGTTGTATCACAAATTAGCCGAGAGGGTCTCCATGATAACCAAAAAGAGGTAAGGAGCGATAGGGTCTCCTTGCCTGACCGATCGCTGAAGCTCAAAAGGAGGTGTCAGTAGTCCGTTCACCTGTACGCAGGTAGTGGCGTTTTGGTGAAGGATGCGTACCCACTTCCTAAATGTAGGCCCAAAATTCATTTTTTCCAAGCATTTTTCTAGAAAGATCCAGTCGACGTGATCGTATGCCTTTTCAAAGTCGATAAAGACAATTGCTGCATTGGACCGGTGTCTTTGCGCGAGACAGACAATTTCATTTATCAGCAAGATATTCTCTTGTATGTTCCTACCGGTCAGGGATCCCGTCTGGGCTGGATGAATCACATCTGATAGGAACTCCGCCATACGGTTCGCCAAGGCTTTGGCGAGGATTTTGTAGGCTACTATGAGTGTAATTGGTCGGTAATTCTTGATATTCATCTTATCCCCTTTTTTGTACAGCAGAGTCAGCACTCCTTTCCCCACTTCTTCCCCCATTTCCCCTTCCTCCCATACCTATTGATAGAAGGTCCACAAGTCTGTGCTCAGTTCTGGCCACATGGTTTCCCAAAATTCTTTGGGGAAGCCATCAATACTCGGTGTTTTCTCTTCCTTCATCCCAAGGAGTGCTACCCATATCTCGTCCTTGGTCAGGGGGCGATCCAAGCAGAGATGAGTATTTTTTTTTTGAAATGCCACTTCACCCAACCCACCCAAGATTTTCTTAGCACATCCCACCCTTAAAAAAAAACAAAAAAAAAGGTTCGAAGCTGATCCAACCCACCCAAGCATTTTTTCCAATTTTTTCGCCCACGCCCAACCCGCCCGCCACCCGTGAAAAAGGTTCACCTTGACCCACCCGCACCCGCAAGAAAACCATTGGACCCGGGATGTAATATTTTTTCACCCGCACCCGGTTGTGTCCGCTATTGTCTATTCCTTCAAACATTTGCAGACAACAGGACATTAGGACGTGACATGACAAAACCAAACATAGCGCTCTTTTAAATGCGAACGATCGAGAATTAGCCTTCGACATTCGACTTTTGAAAGGAAACAAATATAAAATCAGTTATGAACACAAGCAAAACCGTGTCAAAGAGTTACAAAACTTGACAAGGAAACTAAATTGAAGTTCATTCGTCCGTATTCAATTGCAATTCCCATCTACCTTCACATACTCAAGTCCTTATTTGATCGAACAAACAATATGTCGTTGACCATCGAACCGCTAAGCAAGTTCCTTTTTTTTGTCAATGTGTTCCCTGAAACAGAGAAATTGCACTCGCTCTTGGAGCTCGATGCAGGCACACATAACACCGCACGAGCAGCCCGTGCCATAATAGGCAAAGGAGGACGCAATATCTGGAGATTCTCCGTTGGGACTGCCATCCCTTTGGCTTTCCACCAGGGAAGGAGGTCGAAAGTCCGTTTCTCCTCCTTTGTCAACTTCAAAGTGAAATAATATTCTAACTTTTTTTGAATCCTCTCAGATGTGCTCATCTTCAATGTCTCGTTCCTTCTTGGCATCTCTACATCCTCCTCATCAGAGCTACACATCCCCGGTCTTCCCCTTCTTCTTTTTCTTGGACGCTCCTTAACAACCCCGACCTCGAGCACGTTTGGTTCAATGTCAACACTTGGGGCAACACTTTGCATGATTGCCTTCAATTGGTTCTTCCCTCGTTTCACTTGCACAAATGGAACTTCAAAAGTCTCCAACCTGTCCTTCTGACGCGGATCAAGCAAGGCAGCAACGACATGCAAATCTTCCAACGACCACTTCTCCATTATCGTATCTCTGATTAACTTCTTGATGGCTGCAATGTTGCTGGAATCGGGTGGAGTGACAACTTCCTTCCCCGCTCCATTTACGTCTGTCACAGGTTCTGTGTTAATTTCGCAAGATTGAAGCAACTCATTTCTCTCAAAGACCACGCAATGGAGAGCGGGGTGAAGATAACTCTCAAGTTTTAAAGTTGCCTCTTCAAAACGATCAAGGAAATGTACTAGTTCCTAACAGTTGTTGATTTGTGCAATCAAAACAGCCCTCGCCCCACCTTTGTTCAACAAGAGATTCGATACTTCCTCATAACTTCCACTGACACTCTTGAGCATACGCAATAACGAAGTCCATCTTGTCGCGTACTCCTGCTTGAGCGTGTTTTTCAACGCCCTTTGCAGGTTCGACTGCTTGACGTGTCGAATGAGTTCCTTGCAATTATCAATGAGCTCAAATACCTCTGCTGCGGCGTCCTCGAATTTGTAAAATGGTGCTGACTTGATTCTGTTTGTCGTGCTTGTGGTTTTGTTGAGGACAGTGGTCAAAACCGTGGCAATCTTGTGATCGCTGCACGACAACCATTTGAAATTACTCTGAATACCCTCACCACCACACATGTTCGATCCACTATCCGAACACACTACACACCGTTCATTTTCATCACACTCGAATTCCTAAAGACCCTCCTTGAACGCTTTCAGGACACAGACAGCGGTATGTGATTCGTCGTGCAATGGCCACACTTGAAGTGTTCGTACGTGCAGTTTGAAAGCGCCGTCGATATAGTGGATCGTGATGGACATGAAAGATGTTCTCTTAATCGAGTCGGTCCACAGGTTAACTGTGAACCCTGCATGGATTTTTTCGGCAAAGTGTTCTTTCAACTTTGCTTTGACAACATCGCGGAGTGATTCTGCATCGCCCATCACCTGACACTTGACTGTGAAGCGTGAGGGAATCAAATCATCTACCTTCATGCCCCTACCGACACTGATCCCTATGTCAAGAAGAACTTGCGAGTACCGACGGAACCCTGCGTCCTCTACGATGGAAAATGGTCTCAGATCCTCACAACACATCATCGCGGCTGACCTTGCAACTTGTCTCTTTTGTGACGTGGTCGGTTGGACCGTTGTCGCAAATAGACGCATTGCGCCGGCATCGGCTGCCACTAGCCGACATCTGTGGCCATTCAGTGAGCTTGTACCATGACGCATTTCGTACGCGTAAACAGCGTGACACTTCGTACAAGCCATATAACCTGTGTCAAACTCCTTCACAGGCGTTCCGTCCGTGTGGCAGACATGGGCAAATCTCTGCCAACATTGGGCAAAGCTGGCTTTCTCTTCTTTGAGCACGAACTGTGCCCCAGGCCCGCCTTTCTGCAGAGCACGGTGAATCGCATTTTTCAGTTTCATCATGTCCGGTTTGGACGATGCAGATGAAGAGCCAACGCCGACATCCACCATTTTGCCGTCCAATGCGTTCATCGTACGATCACTTGAACGGCCACAGGTGGTGGGTAATACTGGGTATTTCCTGCATCCATCAACAGCCACCAAAACACAAAACACTGTCGAATGGTCAAGGGCGAGGTCATCACCCAGCCAATCTGTGTCAGTGTCCATGCGTCTGGCCTCCCCATCTCCATTTATCCACACAGAATCTGGCCTCAGAAAACAGAAGAAACAGAATTTGTATTATATCTATTTGTTTGATAATTTTCTTGTAGATTATTACAATATATATTGAATATATTGTTGATTATATATATTGAATATATTGATTCTAAATCAGTATATTCAAATTGATTATTGTAGATAGAAAAATTCATCACTAAATATGGGCGAACGACGGGGATTGAACCCGCGTATCGTGAAGCCACAATCCACTGCCTTGACCACTTGGCTACGTTCGCCTTCTTTTTTTCTATAAAATCAAAGAATATACTAATCAATAAATAATCAGTATAAATAAGTAATAAGTATACAATTAATAAATACTACTCTAAAAATATAATACTAACTAAGCAAGAAGTAATTTGATCTGTATATTATAGATAGATCAAATCAATGGATATTCTCATTCAATGGATATTCTCATTATTTATTTAATATTCATTCCTTTGATTGATTTTTTATAATAACATTGAGCTAAAGTACAAACTTCCATTCTATTGAAACAATAAAAAAGGAACAATTGAAAATAAGTTGCAACTTATTTTCGATTGTTCTTTTTTTATTGAGGCAAAAAAAAAAAAAAAAAAAAGATATCTGGCAGCTCCCACCGGAAATCACGGCAGAGTGTTGATGGGCCCAGCTCAGTTCGTGCACCCTTGAACTGTTGAAATACAGACTCAAGTCTGAATCCAGATACCCCTGAACTGTTGAAATACAGACTCAAGTCTGAATCCAGATGCCCCCCGTAATAGAGAATAAAATCATTCTGAATTGCCCGGGGCCTATCAGTTCAAGAAAAAAAACAGACTTTTTGTTTGCATCAAGACCACATCAACATTCGT